ACACACACACACACACACACACACCACACAACAACACACACACACACCACACAACAACACACACACCACACAACAACACACACACACCACACAACAACACACACACACCACACAACACACACACACACACACACACACACACACACACACACACACACACACACACACACACACACACACACACACACACACACACACACACACACACATCGCACATGAAGGTAAGCCTTCGCCTTTCGGCTCTCCGAACCTCAGCCTTCTTAAAGTTGTCCTTTGGGTTTCCTTTTTCCTTTCCGGCCTTTCGCCTTTTTCGTTTTCCGGCTCATGTTCATCCACAACTTGATCTTGGCTGGGTAGCTGTGATAGTTCTGCATGTTGGTTGCAACATGCAAGCATCTTCCATGGCCAGAGGTAAAACCAATTTGCCCCTTTTGCATTTTTCACGTTCTTGTTGCTGGGTTTTTCCCCGTTGCCTCTTGTCTTAGCATTCAATGTTACAGTTGTTTCTAACCGACTGCTTGTCAGGTTTTCCTTTACTACTTCCATCAGCCAGTAAATCCAGCCCTTGTCCCATATGGCAATGGCTCAAAAGAACACCCAAACTGGCACCTTCGTATTTGGAACCAAAGACCAGCACCGCGGAATTAACCCTAGCGCTGTCATTTTGAGCCACATATGGCTGTGGGTCAAAACCAATGTGGTTGGTAGCTGAATTCACCCTTTTGGAGCCTATCTTAGTGGTTGGATTGAGATGTTCACTGGGGCTATTTGGATTTTGACCCACACCGGACTTTGAAGGCGTGGCCGTGGCAGACTCGTCGCCCCCTGATTCCCGCGCCTCGTGCCTCGGGTGCCCAGGAAGGGGGACTCCCTGCAGCTGGTGCGGCAGAAGTGCCCGGAGATCGCCATCTGCCCGGGCCTCGAAGTTTCGGGTTTCGGGGCTCGGGGGCATTGGGTGACGGTGAGCCGGTTCTTTTTAGGGGGGCCATTCCCCCAATTGTTTTTGGTGGTTGTGTCTTTTGGTTTCCCTTTAAAAAGAGACCTAAAAGGGGAATTTGGTGGTTGTGTCTTTTGGTGTCCCTTTAAAAAGAGACCTAAAAGAGGTGCCCTTTAAAAAGGACAGAGCTAGATTGACATGGGTTGCAACAAAAAAACGGAGGTGTTCTTGAACCATTCTTGGAGATTCCAGACATATTTTTCAGTGGGTTCCACGGTTCCAACTGGGAGTAAAACAACTATGTCGTCTGCCTGTGGGTTCCCAGGCCTCCGGTGTGTGCATCATTCTTTCCGATTTTCTGGGGAGAGGTTCTTCTGCTGCATCGCGGGCTGTAAACAAGTCTTGCGGGTTTTCCGAATTGGACCCACAAAAAGTTAGGAACGCTTTTGCAGAGGGGTCGTGGCAGCAACCAAGTAGCATAATCAGGGCCCACGAGTGAAGCATAGAATTCGCTTTTTCCTGGGCGTCTCCACTTGGAAGCCATGATTCTGGCCATGAGGGTGGCCTTGCTTCTTAAAGGGGAGCACACTGATCTTGATTGCTATTGGGCTGTATCTTTAGACTTGGACAACTCTTTGGTTGACAATCGTTTTTTGAATTTTCGAATCGGACCCAGACAAGTCTTTTTGCTGGGAGGCATGGGGTCTGTGATGCGTTTTGCAGGGTAGCCTTGCCAAAAATGGGAAGCCCACGGCTAGGCAACGGGGAGGACCTCACCTTCTACTCGGAGATCTCCCAGCGGGTCTTCGAGGCGAAGAAACAGTGGGGGCAAGGGATGCGGGAGCGAGCGCGATGCGCCCGCCGGTTCGAGTGGAAAAGAGATGCAGCGCGTTCTGGGTATCTGGGTCCCGGATCTTTGGAAAGATCTAGGGGTTGATCCCCCATTCTTTTCAACCATTGTTCTTTTCGAAAACCAGCTGTTTCCAAAAAGTGCTCGAAGAACATACTGTGGATGGTTGCGAAATCCCTGTCGCACCACCTAAGGAAACCATCTTTGCAACCATTGCTTGCTGCCATTTACAAGGAAATCAACACATTCCAGGGTTTCTTAGGCGGCTATGTTACGCCTTGCAACATTCAGTCCAAATCGCACATGGGGAGGAAACGGCTTGAGGTGAATCCTGGTTGAAGTTCCCTTAAAAAGATGGCGAAAGGGGGGATGCCTCAGGTGAATCTTTCGAATCTGGTTGAATCACGTCCGCCCATTTGATGGCGAGCTTTCCTCAGGGTAACACCATCTCATGATGTAATCCCTCAGCCTGGGACTCCAACTCTTCTTTCAGGTCTTGGATTGAATGAGGACCACTAGCTCTTTGCTTAAAACAACACATCGGATCCAATATTCCTGCCCAGGCCAAAAAGGTCCCCCAGTAGCACCCTTTTGACCTTTTTTGGGTGAGGGCTCCCCTTCTAAAATAGACTGCAGACAAAAAAATGGGTACCCTTATTCTAACCTCTCTACTGGAGGACCTGAAAAAGGGCGATTGACTGACTCCGGTTGAGGGGGGATCTCGCCGGAGGTGGCCTCTCGCTTCAGTCCCCGGGTGGAGCGCCTGGGCCTGGACGAGGTCTTCGTGGATCTGGGGGACCAGGCTTCGGGGCTTCGGGGCTTCGGGGCTTCGGGGCTTCGGGGCTTCGGGAGGTGCGGTGGGTGGGGTGGGTGGGGTGGGGGGGTGGGGTTTTTGGGGGGTTCCGAGCCTTGGTGTCCTTTTGAATCCTTTTGAATCCTTTTGATCGTTTGAATAGAAGATTGGATCGGTTGGTTTCATTCGTTGGTGTAGTGGGTTTAGTTCGAGACCTCTGATCAAGACATCAACCTGCCCAACCTGCCAGCAGGAGCGACGTCAAACTTCAAGCCTCGAAAGGGCTTCTCTGCAAGCTGCCATGGGCCGGTTCATTTTTTTTTGCCTTACCAGCTGGTTTAGAGGATCCAACTCCTTGTCAAGCAGGTGTCTCTTGCAACAGGGTTCCGTGTAGTATAGTAATTACCCCGTTTTATTGGTTTTGAGCATTGCCTCCAGGCATTAGGGCGATTTAAAGTGTGTTTCCTTTGAGTGAAGGGTGATGTAAAAAAAGGGGAGATCTAGGCAACATTGGACACCTAATGGTTGTGAACCCCTCATCCAAGCAGAACCCGTCCTTGCAAAGTGGCATCCGGATTTCCACTGCAGAACACCTCCTCCCTATGAAAATAAATCGGGTAATCTGGGGTCAACATTATGCTAAGCTTGCCCATGGTTCTGGAGAGTTGTACGCTGCCACTTTTGCAATACCAAGGTCATCCTCTTAGGGACAAATTTGCGATCGGAAATCCTAGAATTCCCTTGGACCATTTGGCGCAAGATACTGCACTCCCCACTTTTGGTTTAGTCATTCCCTTTCCTTGCCCACAAGGGAGTTGTGCCAATCTGCTTCCATCCAATGAAAACACCTCTTTCCCCCCCCCCCCCCCTCCAGGTGACGGAGCGCTTGAAGGGCGGCGCGGCGTCCGCGGCGCAGTCTTTCCGCGGCGCGCTGTACCCCAGCGAGGGCGCCGACGTGGCGGCGCCGGACGCCGCGGCTTCCGCCGATTGGGCGGCGCTGGACGATGAGCGCCGCTGTGCGGCGCTTGGCCTGAAATTGGTTTGGGACGGGGAGGTGACCAGCGGTGACCTATTTTTCCGCAAACCATGAGTAAATGGGAGGTTTCGAGCGCTGAATCAATATATGACGCTCGTTTTTGGCGGTTTTTGCTGTTGTTGGCAGGGCTTCCTACGGTGGGGATGTTGCTGTTTTTGGCACGGTCTCAGACTTGTCATTTGCAGTGTCTTGAGACATCAATTTTCTTGTCCTTTAACCGGTTTGGTTGCATTTTTCTGTTGAAACAAACACCTGTTGGGTGGGTTCCCCGGGTATGTTAGCTCTTTCTTCTTTTTCCTTGTTGAATTTCATGTGTCGGAGGCTTCAAAGAGCCGTCAGTTCCTTGACAGACGTGGAAGGGTTTTTTTGTTCCAGGTGTTTGGGCTGCAGAGAATGGGGTGTGCACCACTAGAGAAACACGTCGAGCCAAGTTTGCCACCGGAATGGGCGAGGTTTCGTCATGGGACGAAAGGGTCGAATTGAAAGGCTCCAGCCAACCACTTGAGCAAGGTCCACCCCCACTGCTAAAGGTCAACCGGTCCACCCCGGGTTTCTGCTGCTGCTGAGTAGCCCGGTTTCGTCTTCCAAAGAATGGATCAGGGCAAACTTAATTCACGAGGACACCAATCCAGGGTTTATCGAACGATTTACCTATGATCTTTGACTGGGGGATTCCGTCATTTCGTGCTTGCGGCTTAATCTGTGCACTAAATAGCCTGTAATTGTGGTAATGCCTCCCAAGAGGAAACTTCAAGGGGCGGGGGCATTTTAGTATAGTTATTAGTGCCTTATTGGGGGGAGGGGGTTAGAGGTGGGCAACTTTACGTCGGCAGCTTCGCAAAAGATTGGGCTATAGTGAGCAACAACCAGTTTGCAAACCCCACCGGGTACAGTTTTCACTTGGACATTTCAGCCAGAAAATGGTGCGGGGACACTGGGGTTCACTGCGCGAACTGATCGGTACTCGCTTTCTGAGTGGATTGATCAAAATAACAATGTGACAATTTGAAGTTTCCTACCCCAAAGTCTTCCACAAAAGCAACCAGATTCCTACCGTGCCTTTGTGGGCCTGACGTTGCGAAGGTGAAGTAGGCACCATGTGGGTGTGGCTCCCCCCCCAAAAAAATAAATAAGTCAGAAAACAAAACGAACAGAAGTCAACAACGAAAACATTTAAAGCATGTGGTTTTCCTTCCGGCCTTACCTGAAAGCCACCACATGGGGTAGCACCTCCTCACCCGACGAGCGGTCCACGTCTGCGCCGCCGCCGCCGCCGCGTGCGCCGCATCTGCGCCGCGCCATGCGGAGGTCCGCCTGGCGCACGCCTCGGAGCTCTGCCTGGAGATCCGGAAGGCCATTCTGGAGGAGGCGGTTGGCCCGAATTTCCTTTCGGGCCCGGGACGGGGGGGGGGCTCCAAAAGGAAGGCGGAAGGCGGAAGGCTTGCCAGGAGGTATATATTATATATTATATATACATACACACACATATATATATATATATACTTTTCTCTGGGGGGGGGGGTGCGGCGGCGAGGGGGCGTTTCTTTTTTGGGGCGATGACATTGGATCACTTGTTCAGGTGAAACATTGTCCCCCCAGCCTTGGCGGTTGGCTGCGTTGTGGGGCCCATTGGTTTGGAGGTGCGGTGAGTGGGACCTCAACTGTGGCCCCCGGATGTCTCCTTTAAACAAAAAGTACAAAAATCACCACCATCATCATGTGTTTTTGGGTTTTTAAACACATTATAAGAATAACCAATAAAAAGCAACAATGGGAGACCATCACCATGCTTGCTTTAAACAAGCTTGGTATGTATTGTTTGGGGATGCGGACTTTGGTGACTCAGATGGGGTCCCATTGAGCAAGTCTTCATGCCTTGCAGGTGGGCCTCACGTCTTCCGCCGGGGTCAGCGTCAGTAAGATGCTGGCCAAGATGGTGGCCTCTTGGAGGACGAATCGGCGAATCGGCGGGGCGAGCCTGGGGGCGAGGAATCGGCTTGGAAGTGCTGGGAGTTACCAAAATATCAGCTGGGTATGCGCCAAAAGTGGGGACCCCGCTGCCCAAAGAAAAGAAGGAGACGAATCGCGGTTTTTGTTTTTGGCGTCCCTGTAAGCCAACCTGAAAAGGGTACCCTCAACACACACACACACACAAACCCCTTTGGCTGGCTTGCGAGGAAGTGAGCAGCGGATGGCTATTCTTGGCCCAGAAATCAACAAACCAACAAGCAAATGGAGGGTTTGTCTTAGCACCAACCAGTCACGGAAGTGGAGAAGGGGCTTCAGGAAGACTAGGAAGACTGCATCTGATTGGTGTCCTGTCCACTTTGATGGTAGAGGTGAATGAGGGCAATGGGACCCCCGGACTATGTCCAAAGTGGTCTGATTCCCCACTACATCCAGAGAAACCGCTCCCCTTTCAATAAACGGGGGTCCCATTACCCAGACAGCTGCGGACAACCTTCTTGAGGTTGCAAGCAGCTAAATGTGGACAGGGCAGAGTTTGGCAAATGGGTCTCAGAGCGGGGGGTTGAATCCACGTGCAAGTGCGTCATCATCATCAACATGGCAAGCTCACAAGAATCACCAGCCCGAACATCCTCAAACGGATTGAGGGAAATGAGCCTAAGGCCAAGATGGTAGGCATCCTGCAAATTACGACTTGGCTTGTCGAAAGCCTAATTTCCATTGATCAGCACACTACGGATTGTGCGGTTTACGGCCTATACAGATTGCGCGGCGAATGGATTGCGGATTATGAGGTTGGTGGGATTTCCCATGCTCCAACTCCAACATAAACCCAAAGTTTGCAATGTCGACTACGGATTCAGAAGACTACCAACCAAAACAAGGATTAAGCAGGTTGCGGATTCCGATTAGGGCCCCGGAATTTCGAACAGGCTAGAATTAAGTAAGATGGAACCCATCCCGATTCGGAGATTCCTCTCAAAATGGGCGTGTCTTTTTTCAGGTCGGACCCTGCAAACTGGTCGGATTTCCTTTTGGCTTCCATTTCAAACCAACCAGCCAAAGGGGCTCCCCCCCCCAAAAAAAAAGAGACACATCCCCAAAGGGAGCTGCACAGGGTTGTGGGATCAAGGGGTTATTGCCCCACCTCTGTGATACTTTTGGGAATCTCCCTCCCTTGTCTGGGGTGTTAGTCTTTGTGGTTAGGCCCTTTCTTTATGTTGTACAGTTGTACCGCAGATTCGTGGGGATAGGGGCTCCCCCCCCCAAAACAAGAGACACATCCCCAAAGGGAGCTGCACAGGGTTGTGGGATCAAGGGGTCTTTGCCCCACCTCTGTGATACTTTTGTGAATCTCCCTCCCTTGTCTGGGGTGTTAGTCTTTGTGGTTAGGCCCTTTCTTTATGTTGTACAGTTGTACCGCAGATTCGTGGGGATAGGGGCTCCCCCCCCCAAAACAAGAGACACATCCCCAAAGGGAGCTGCACAGGGTTGTGGGATCAAGGGGTCTTTGCCCCACCTCTGTGATACTTTTGTGAATCTCCCTCCCTTGTCTGGGGTGTTAGTCTTTGTGGTTAGGCCCTTTCTTTATGTTGTACAGTTGTACCGCAGATTCGTGGGGATACAAGGGAATTTCCCCCTTTTTTGGGGGGGTTAGTCTTTGGGGTCAGGCCCCTTATGGCTTCCGTGGGACGCCCATTTCGCAGCAGCCAGAGGGAGGTGCGTGAATCGAGTTTCGCGGGAGGAAGCCGGCCATGCAGACTGTCTTCTTGCCCACCAAGGAGGCCTTGGCCGCGCTGCTGCCGGACGCGTTGGGGGTGCAGAAGATCCCGGGCATCGGCTTCGCCTCGACCCAGCGCTGCCACGAGCTGGGTGTGACCTGCCTCAAGGACGCGCGGGGGGGGGGGGGGAGGGAAGGGGAGAGGCGACTGGCCTACGTCGCTGGGGTTGTTTTTGCGGCGATTTGCTGGGACTGCCGCGTTTTTTTTGTGGCGCGTGCTTGGCAAAGACAGGTCATCTGCAAAAAACACGTGGGCCCCTGCCATCTTTGGGTGGGTTTTTAGGGAAGGAAAGGTGCACCGCCCAAGTATTCTGAGACCACTTCCATGTAATTAGTCGACTCGGGTTTCGTGGTGCCAACCCCCCCAACCCCCCACCCGCACCCCCCCCCCGGCCCTCGACAAAGCCCTTCAGGACTTGGCGGAGGCGGGGGATGAGCGGCTGGCGAAGGAGTTCGAGGCGGCGCAGGTGCGGCACATGAGGCGGTGGCGTTCAAGCCGCGCACCGAGCCGTGCGAGAGAAGTGGTCGGCGTAGGGCGCGCGCTCGTTGGGGGGGGGAATCGGGCGGGGAGGGGGGTGTTGGGGGGGGGGGTGAGGGGAGGTTTAGATGTCTTGTGTGTGTGTGTGTGTGTGTTTTTTGTTTGAAACTGCCCAGTCCACTTTTCGGGAATCCCGAATTAGGTCCAAAAAAGGGGGGGGGTTCCCGAAGGCTTACGGAGATCTCTTCTGAAGGGCTCTCGGGAACCCAAAGCACCCCTAGCATAGGTGTCCTTTTTGGTTGTTTTGCTAGAAAATAAATGGCCCTGGTTTACCTGGTGGTTTAATCATCTACCAGGGCCATCTATTTCCCCTAAAAGGACACCTATGACCCCTAGTCTCAGAAACCGCCAGGCAGCTGTGTTTGGGCCTGGACCTCTCTCCGGTGAGAAGCTCGGGGTGTCCCAAGAGCTGCTCCGCCGAGGAATTTGCCATCGGAGTGAGCGCGAGTTCGGTCGCTGGCCCGTGTCTTTCTGGCGTCCTTTTCGTTCTTTTTTGTTTTTGGTTGGTTGGCTTTGTTTTGGTATACTTCTGTTTTGTGTTGGTTTTTGGTTAGTTCTTTCTGGCTGATTTTGTTCGTTTTCTTGTTGGATTTCGGAGGTTTTTTTCATTTGGGTTGCCCTTTGAAATCATTCCACAAGCGGTGCCCTCAAAAAGAGCCACGGCCATTTCTCGCCAGGGATGCCAGTTGCCACACTGTCGTTTGCTCGCCGGCCTGCAGCAAGCACGCAGGACTCCTTTTGGCAGCGGCCTCTGCGCAGCTTTCAGGAGGTGCGGGGGCCAAAATGTCCCTTTTCGGCGTTGCCATTTTTGGTCATGGCAAAAGGTGAACCTTTTGTTTCTGGGTCCTCCGAATTGTCTCTTGGGTTCCCCGTCGGCCGACCTAGAAACCCTCAAGCAAACATATTCCCAACATTGTTTTAGGGCGCAAAGGTAAGTTAAGGGACCTGTTCAACAGTTCCTTTGGTAAAAGAGATGGGGTTCCAAGCCAATCTAAACCTGGAAAGATGTGTGCCATGGTCAAAAAGTCCTACGGCCGATCGGGTCCTGGTCGTCTTAGGAAGCACTACGGTCATCAAGGATACCTTGCTACCTGATGGATCACTGGCACTGTTAACCTCAAGTAATGTTTTTTTTGACCAGCACAAATGGCTGATCAGCTTTCCTCTAATTGGTGGTTTGGAGCCCAGTGGTTTGGTGGTTAAGGAAGGGTGTCCCATCAAATATGTACAAGAACCAGGGTTCAAATGGGAAGCCAGCAAGCAACAACCCCCATTTTGGGGTTCGGCAATTCCCTATCGAATTTGAGAAACATCCATATTCGCACCTGTAGCCCCATATTCGCACCTGTAGCCAATCAATCAGGAAACCCTTAGTTGGTTGGTTTGGATCTTGTAAAGGGTTCGGGTGGCCTGTGTAAAAAACCTGCCAAGAAGGACATTCTACATGTCTTGGTTGCTGCAACGACCCCCCTGCAAACAGTGAGCTTCGAGTTTTGGGTTGGTTTCGTGGAAAACCCAGCTTTATTTCAACCAAAAAGTAAAAGTCTAAAGATCCGTAACCCAATAGCAGTCAAGTGGTGGGGCCAGAAGGACGCCAGAAGGACGCCTGCGCGGCCCAGGTGCAGGCGTCGCTCGTCGCCTTGGCCGAGAAGCTGCTGGCGAAGCTGCGGACCATCGAGCGAGGCTTCGGGCCGCACAGGGCGGCCTCCCTGGCGGTGAGCGCCTGGGACGGGGGGTCGGTGGAGAGGGTTTCGTTGATCACTCGGGGTATGCTTCCATTTGCTGAAAAGAATATGTTTTCCCTGGTTGGTTTTAAAAGGAATTTGTCACTACTGGACATATTTTTCCCAGGGGTCTTAACCAAATGAAATTTTAACCAACAACTTCTGGGATAGGGAATGCCCTCTTTTATATGGGGGGTTAGTCTTTGGGAGGCCCCTCTTTGTTGTAGACGTGGATTCCAGACTTTTGGGAATGCCCTCTTTATGGGTTCGTCTGAATCAGTTCCGGCAGAGTTTCGGACTTTGGGCACTTTTTGGGTTGCCGCAAAAAAGGTGTAGACCAGGGTTGTTGATCACATGGGGGTTGTTCAACCACTGTGTTGCTTCTGGGAATGCCCTCGATTATTATGGGGGGTTTGTCTTTGGGAGGCCCTTTTAGCACAGTGGGTTCCATTTCCCACAGCCAACAGTTGGAGAGGCCTTAATCGGGGGGCGCGACATGGGGTGAAACGGATTTTTCTCATCCTGTCCTCGAACTGCGGAACGACCAAGTCTGAATTTGGTTCAGCAATCAACCTTTGGAAGTCAAAGATTATCAAAATGAAATGAGTGGAAAGAGATTGATGTGGCCGTGGTTGTCAAAACCAATGGGATCCCAATTTGGGGTAGGTGAATTCACCCATTTTAGAACCTATTTCGTGGGGAGTGGGATGTTCATTAAAGGGGGGATTTTGACCCATGGGCATGTAAACATGTCTTGGAAACCAAAGACGCTGTCTTCATTTGTTTTTGGTTTCTGGTTGTTTGGCCAGCTTGTCGGCAAATGGCAAAGTTTGGTTTGCCTTTTTTTGTTGGCAAGCCAAGGGCAAAAGGGAGTGAGCGAAGGACATTTAGTTTCGTTCCTTCCTTTCTCATTCATATGTTTCGTTTCTTTTTTGACATGCAACTTAGACTTTAAAACTTTAGAGTGATGTGTTTGAGTAATTTTAGAATGATTTCCTTTCTCAGTATTAGTCGCGTTCAGAACATGAATTGTAAACTTTAGAAATCTACAGCCTCATTATTTGCATTTCTTTTAGAAATCGTATGGCTATGTTTCTTCGATGTCTTTATCCTGTTATCTTTCTTTTTAATTTGCTTTCTATCTTTTGGGCATCTTCATCTTGGACATGCGAAAGGACATGAGCCAGACACATAATTTCTATCTACTTATTGATTTCCTTTTTCCTTCTTCGTATTGCCGTTTTATTTAGACATTGTTTATATTTGGCCTTTCTCTTTCTTACTCCCTAACGTCTAAAATCCTTTTAACTAAGATGTGCATGAATGGGAAGTGAGATGAAGAGATAGAACTTGGCTTTTGAGTCAGGGTGGCAGGCATGAAGGCTGACGTGTTCAAGTATGCGGTCGGGCTGTGTGCGGTTGCGGTGGCTGATGTTGGAAGGTGCTGGGTGAGGTAGCTGGGTGCTGTGGCTGAGGCGGCTTTTGCGCAGGGTGGGGGGTGTCACTTACAATTTTGGCGAGGTGCTGTTCGGTGCAGTACGAGGATGCCATTGCAGTGTCGTCAGGGTGTCGTGGCGTGTGGCGCTGGTGATTGTGACCAGGACTCGCAGAGCGGGGATGCTTGCTATTTGGTTGGGTCCTTAGACTAGCAAGCTTCCTGTGAATCACTATCTTCCCGCTAAACCGCGAAAAGCAACACTTGCGCCGAACTTTGCTCACTTCCTGAGTCCTCGGACATCATACTTGTTGAGCAGACACTTTCGCTGGCAAACAAGAACAGTTTGGACTCGTTTTGGCCAATCCACTCAGCGGTAAGGGCGGGTCAGGAAACAAAGTCAGGAAGCAGGTTGGACAAAGTCAGGAAACGGGATGGTCCAAGTCAGAAAACAGGTCGTGTCAAGAACTATGGCGGCAAACGAGAACAGTTTGGATTCTTTCTGTCCAAGCCCTAAACCCTAAACCCTAAACCCCAAAACCAGTCCACGCTGGACTAACCCTTGGCTGCAAAGCTGGAGAGAGCCCAAGCAAAAAAAACAAAAAGAAGCTAAAACCAGTCAGGACGTGAGCTGAATTTTCCATTTTCCAGGGCCCCTCCCTCCCAGCCACGAGGCTGGCGTCAGGCGCCGGCAGACGAGGCCCCGGGCGGAGCCCGCGCGCGCCGGGAGCGGCGCCAGGCGCCGCTGGCGGAGAGCTGCGCGGGGCTGGAGGCAGGGCGCCTGGCGCAGTGCGGCCTGGGGCTGTTCCAGAAGACGGTCAAGGCAGGGGCAAACAAAGTTTGCATATCTATCTATCTATCTGTCTGTCTATCTATTTATCTATCTGTCTGTCTGTCTGTCTGTCTGTCTGTCTGTCTGTCTGTCTGTCTGTCTGTCTGTCTGTCTGTCTGTGTGTGTGCTTGTGTGCTTGTGTGCTTGTGTGCTTGTGTGCTTGTGTGCTTGTGTGCTTGTGTGCTTGTGTGCTTGTGTGCTTGTGTGCTTGTGTGCTTGTGTGCTTGTGTGCTTGTGTGTTTGTGTGTTTGTGTGTTTGTGTGCTTGTGTGTTTGTGTGTTTGTGTGCTTGTGTGCTTGTGTGCTTGTGTGCTTGTGTGCTTGTGTGCTTGTGTGCTTGTGTGCGTGTGCGTGTGCGTGTGCGTGTGCGTGTGCGTGTGTGTGTGTGTGTGTGTGTGTGTGTGTGTGTGTGTGTGTGTGTGTGTGTGTGTGTGTGTGTGTGTGTGTGTGTGTGTGTGTGCGTGTGCGGGTGTGGGTGTGGGTGTGGGTGTGGGTGTGGGTGTGGGTGTGGGTGTGGGTGTGTGGGTGTGTGGATGTGTGGGTGCGTGCGTGCGTGCCTGCGTGCCTGCGTGCCTGCGTGCCTGCGTGCCTGCGTTCGTGCGTGCGTTCGTGCGTGCGTGCGTGCGTGTGCGTGTGTGTGCCCCCTCATGGTCCACCTTTGTAGCCTAATTTTTCGCCAAAAGGCTAAAAGCCCCGTGTGGGGACTTGTCAAAATCCATTTGTTTTTAAAGGGGGTAAAGTGAAGGTGGATCATGAGGGGGGGAGCTTTGCACACATACACAGACACGCACACACACACACATATATATATATATATACATGTATTTTTTTTTGAGGGCACCCTTTTTGCGGGCTTCCCTCGCCAAAAGGAAACTTCTTTTGAACTGGCACCAAAGGCGATGTGTAAAACTAGCAAAACAGGAACTGTAGGGAACCCTGAAACCAGGGCCTGGACACCTTGAAAGGGGCACCAAAATTTGAACCTCAGGTTCGTTCACCTTAGTTGGTTGGTTGGATTGAACCGGTTCTTGTAGAGGGTGAATGGGGAACCCCAAATCTTGAGGGCAGATGGGAAGCTGAGTTTGATTTTTTGAACTGTTCGTTGGCCCTGCCCTCTTCAGGAACCGTTCGCGCTGAACATTCTGAGCCTTGCCCTCAAAACTTGCCGGGCACTTTGAGGTCAGAGACCAAAACCTGGGTGGGGCGCCAGAATTTTTCACGACTCGGACCCCCACCCTGGAGTTCATTTGTTCTTTTGGCTTCCCAAAAAAGAACACAGACCAAACAAATACCAAAAATAGCAGTGGATCTCAATCCTGTTGATTCTTGCCACGACCTGTCGGTGCCGAGCTCATCTTCTGTCTCTTCGGGAAGTTCCAAAGATTGACCCCGCAGCCTGTAAACTCGGTCAGCTTATGAACCAAAGCGGCTTCCGCTTCTCCATTTTCTTCGCCCAGGAACCTCCAGCTGAACCTGGGGCAGACTTTGAAGGGCCAGCAGAGTCTCAGCTTCAAAGCCGCGGACCCCGCGCCAAACACCGTGCCGGCGCCAGACCCCGCGCCCGCGGCCCCGGTGCTCCTCTCGGACGAGGAGGCGCCGGCGCCAAAAGCTGCGGCAGCGGATTTGGCGCAGCTGGTGGCCATGGGATTCTGCGCCGAAAGGGCGGCGGAGGCGCTACAGGCGGGATGGCAGGGGGCTGGGGGTGCCCTGGGGGTGGTTGAAGGGGCCTGGGGTCAGTGGAAGGTGACCGGAAGATGAGCTGTTGGTGTTCGAAGGGCAATCATGTGGGGTCTGGTTCCAAGAAGTGATCACCTTTTCCAAGGTGCCTAAGGTATTTGGAATGGGTTCCGGAGTTTGGCACTTGAGAAAGGAGCCAGCCAGTTTTTCGTTTCGGCCCCTGAAAAATTCGGCAAACACAAACACGTGGCTGCGCCGCTGGCAGGCGGCCGGTGGGGTGGAGGGCGCTGTAGAGGCTCTGCTGAGTTCGGCGCCCGCTTCGGCGCCTGCGAAGCGGCAGCGGGTGGAGCTGGTCGACTTGGAGTGACAAAAGTTGGAGGGAGCGGATGGCAGGGGTCATTGTTTTCGTGGTTTCTGCGGGGTATCAAAGTCAGAAAATGGGGTTGTTTCCCTTTTACCTACCTTTGGGGGTGACTTTGATCATGGCAGAAGAATGGGCCAGGATGGCCCAGTTGAGCTAGAACTGGGGTCAAGTCCAGTGTGTTTCCTCTTCCATGACCGATTTGGCTGGCAAACAGAGAGTTTAGGTTTTTTTCTTGGTACGTTATACACAAAAAATCGGTGGGGTTCCGCATCCACCGATTCCCGGCTTGGGGTTTTTGTTCCCAGTATTTTTTTGGGGGATGTCACCTGAGAGCAGAGTGTTTAGGAGCTTCAACCATGTTCCATGGGGGTATAGCAAAAAGGACGAGGGTGCAGTTGAAGCGTTTTTGGGGTTGGACCCCCCAAAATGGCGTCCTTTTTCCTACCCCAAGAAACGACAGACTCGAGGTGTCCCCACAAATGGCCCCAATGGCAAGGGAAATCCACCCTTTTTGATTGAACACCGTGAGGAACCTATACTGCGAGCCTTGGCTCCTGATTGGCAAGTGGGGCAAGCTTCGCGCATTTGGTCGAACACGTGGGCCTGTCTCACAATCCGAAACCCACCCCAAAATGGCGGGTGTCCTATCATTTTGCTTCAACTACCCATGTGAGGCCAAGCTGAAAGCACACATAATATACATATCATCCACCATCTATGTCGATTCATCATCTGAAGCGGCAATGAACACTCCTTAACAAATACTGGGGCCACCAATGTAGCGTCCTCCAGCTTAACCTCAAATTCAAGGGAAACTACCCCAAACGCAATTTTAGGACCCCCTCAACTTGGCCGCAAAAACAGGGTCACACAGAACATGAGATTCTATGAATCTGTTATATGCTCACCCTGGCAACTACCAACATTCTAGAAAACGGTTTGGATGCGCTTTTTGTGGATTTCACCTGTTCTTAGCCCCTGTAGGCTCTTTTTTGGTACTCTTTTGGTACTCTTTTAATATCCTGCAGGGGTGGATCCACAAAAACCGCATCCAAACCGTTTTCTGGAAACATGTTCACTTTCGGGGGCCTACAGATACTTACAAGAGTTGCACTGAAGGCCGGGCCGAGACTTGACCTCCATCGGAAGCAAGGGTGGTTTAGGGGAACCTTGTTCCAAGCGAAGGAGAAAGCATGGAACCACAAAACCGGTTTGGAGGAATCTCCTCTTGGGGGACCCCCATGTGAACCTGCAGGTGGGTAACTAATGATTCACTCCCACAATCATGCCTAAGTTTTGTTTCAACGCAGCCAGACCCTATTCTCATAGACCCCTAGCTGCTAGGTTCAAAGACTGTCGCCATCGCCATGGTCGGCCGGCGTTTGCTTGCGGCCGCCCCGCTCGGGATTGTCTCTATTGCCATGGCAAAAGGCGGCAGCGGCTAAAGTGGACGAGCTGTGAATTTTGATGATCCACCTTCAAACGTGTCACACACCCCGCTGATGATCTTGTCCCAGAGGGGCCAGTTTATCTCTAATTCACAGCCGATTCAAACCAAGCCGAACCTGTGCGACCTAATGATTTCTTTCAGGTTCAGACGGCCGCTCAGGAAAAAATAAACCCACATTCATGGCTCCCACATTGTGCCGTGTTTTCTCCCACATGGCTCCCTACCCACACCTTCCGGTCGTTCCGTGGCACCCCAAGACGCGCATGCTGCTCGGTGCCCGGCGGGTCCCACTACACATGGTTAAAACCTGCGGGGTCGGCTCCAAGTCTTGTCAACATGTCAACGGCTTCGGATAGCCCACCGTGGGATTTCTTTGGACAGCAAAGAGAGAGAGGGAGAGATGTTGCCTCCGCTGGTTGCGGGCCTATCTCCCTGGTGTTGCAACCCCGTGTTTTCCGTGGGAAGGCAACCCCCCCGTGTTGGCAACCCCCCGTGTTTTCCAATAGTTATTTTTTTCTATTTTGCCTCCGCTGGTTGGGGTTGAAAGTTGAAACCAATGTTGCTTCAATAAATCTAAGCGGTCTCCCTTTTCAGGAGGCCCATTGGTCGAACGGTTTGCACATCTGGTTTCCCACAAGATCAGGTTACCCGTGCTTGGTGGCTTGGATTTGGTTTACCCTGCGTCTTGTAGAGGGCAATGGAACCTATCCAAGCCAACAATCCAAACCAACTAATGTCGAGCGACTAAAACACCCTGCTTATCGATGTGGGGGGCGGGTTCCCCTCCAAAAGCGACCCACGAAAGACGGGGACACCCCCATATATCTGGTTGCATCTTTGGAGTTTAACCTTTTGAAAGTTGAAACAATGCGTTTTCGATTGGATCTACCAAAAGTCAAAATGCCTCTTTGCAGAGGGGTCTCTCCAGCAACCAATTGGGTCATTCAGAAGCAGAAAGGTGGCACATATATTCCACTCCTTGTCCTCACGGCGGCCCGGCCTCGCCTCGCTGCGCTGGTGGTGTCGTCCACCATCTTGAAACGGCGCTGGTGCCATGGCCTCATCGATGTTTGCTTTGGTGCATTTTGGGTGGATGTTAGGACTAGTTTGCCAACTAATGGGTTTTCTTTTAAACTACTAAAGGTTAAACTTTTAGCAGGGGAGCAGAAAGCAACCGAGTTTGGGTGTGTGCCTTCCGATACGCTTCTCAGGGTGGTTTGAAGGGAAACTAGCAGAAAAGTAATAATCTTTGCCACTATTCGATGTACTGGAACATGTTTGGTTTGCCAAATGATGCTAAAAAGATTCAACTCCTGAGGCTCTCATGATTCAGAAGATGGGGTGCATCTTTCTGACTCTGCGCGTCAGAAGCATGCCCCCCCAAGCCATGTTATGGCGCAGCGACTAGTGGCTCGGCCGAGCTGAGGCTAGCATTGTCTTCAACATTGCCATGGTGGGCCTCAGGTATGTTGGCTTGAACTCTGTGGTGTGGCGCGAATCCTCAAGACACTCGGTTCGTCGCTGAACCTCTCGCGAGTGCTCGCGAGACCGCGGCTTTGGCAAAGCAGTCCTTGCTGAGGGGTGTCCAAGGGTGAAAGATACCATGTGGAAATTGGAGGCTTGAAACAGCCCTGCGCAAGCACCTGACTTGTGCAGGAGTTATACGTCGGGGCGATTTTTCAAGCCTTGCTCTATCGTTGCTTCCTGTCGGAACATTTGGGCACTGTACAGCTTATGCCAACCCTACAGGTGATGCGGAAGCGCTTAGGACCACTGGTACTTCCAGGATTGAGATGCTGATGGCCAGCAAAAGGAGCAGACTTCAGGACTTTTTCGTGAGGGTAAAGGGAAACACCACATGGGATTCGGATGCCCTTTCGCCCATTCGGAGACGGGCATTTGCAGTGCCCTCATGGCGTAACGAAAAATATGTAGAGAGATGTGGCGTGCAATGCCGCCTTTGGCTTCCCGACCCTGTTCCACATGGTTATCTTGGCTCCCAGCCATCCGGCTCCTTGGCTTTTTTCAGCCTTTTAGTGTTTAGTGGCTGCCATTTGACCCACTAAAAGCTAAGCTTCTGGCGGGGGATCAGAAAACGGGCAGCCCAGTTCCGCTTGAAATGGGGCCGCAGGGATCTAGGGGCCGGGCACCGAATTTGCTGCGGTGGCTGGGCGTTTCCCTCGATTCTCAAATTCTCACGACATGTATCGCTGGGGGGGGGGAGGCTCATGAGTTCCCTTTTCTTGACTGCTATTGGGAAACGGATCTTTGGACTTTAACTTTTTGGTTGCGATCAAGTATCGGTTTTCCGTACTAAACCAACCCAAAAAGTGAAGCTCACTTTTTGCAGGGGGGTCGTTGCAGCAACCAAGTTTTTGTTGGGATCTATCGTCTCACTTGCCCAAAGCCGAGTCCCGGCCTGACAGCCTCAATTTGTTGGGTCGAGGCGTGATGGGAGAGCCCACATGGCTGTGTCTTCTTTTCAGCGTTCCCCCCAACTATTTTTCGTGGTTTTTAAACGGACACCACCAGGAAAACCACATTATGCTCTCTTTTTTGGGGGAATCGGATCCCCTGGGATCCCCGAAAAACACGTCACGCCCCACGTGGCGCTGGTCTGGCTCTCAGCTTTGGGCGTTTTTCTCGTCGCAGGAAGAGGCGCTCTTGGAGCGGATGGTGACCAGACTGGCGGTGGACGGGGTGCGGAACTCCGGCCCCTCGGGAGAGAGGAGACACGTCGCACCGCTGGCGCCATCTCCTTCTTTCCACCTTTCTCTGGGTGGCTGGGTGGCTGGGTGGCTGGGTGGCTGGGTGGCTGGGTGGGTGGGTGGGTGGGTGGATGGGTGCGGGGTTGCAGTGGTTCAGTTTACACTTAGGCTAACAGCAGCCTGGCTGGGGGCGGTTTGGCTGGCTTCTGTCATGGCTCAGATTTGGGTTTACAATACTGGTTCAGTGCTTAGTTATTACTTATTTTTGTCTTGTGCAGAAAAGGGATGATCAACTCTGATATCTGATACTGTAGCTCGGCTTGGCTGCTTTGTACTGGTTTTCGGTGATGCTGAAGCTCTCTCTCTCTCTCTCGCTCTCTCTCTCTCTCTCTTTCTCTCTTTCTCTCTTTCTCTCTTTCTCTCTTTCTCTCTTTCTCTCTTTCTCTCTTTCTCTCTTTCTCTCTTTCTCTATTTCTCTCTTTCTCTTTTTCTCTCTTTCTCTTTGTTTTTTGCGGGGGGGGGCCGGGGAGCCGGGGCCGATGGATTTCCTTTTGCCAGCAGGAACCACCAAGGGAATCGCTCTGCAAGCTAGTTCAGGTTGGCCAAAAATGAGGGCTCCTTCTCTCAAAACCAGTTGCTTGAAATGTCTAGTAGGGTTTCCCAGTACTCGCGGGTCCCGAGCGGGTTGTTTGAGGCAAGCCGTTCAGACGCTTCAAGAAGTGGCTGGAAGAACAGCCGCCGTTCGACATTGTCATCGACGGTGCCAATGCGCCCCGGGCGAATTTTCCTCGGACTCGGCGAATCGACAGGTCAAAAGGCCTCTTAGGAATGGTGCGCCATTGGGTTGTTCTCAAGGGGCTTCAGGTCCCAGTAGTGCCCTTTTGCCAACTTTTTTGGTGACCCCACTAGGTCCCCCAGTAGTGCCCTTCTCTCCCCTTTGGTTGGGAGGGTTCCCGAACTAAAATTAACTACAGGAAGGACCTGGCAAGGAATTCCCCGCCACTTTGGGTGGTGCTTTCCCATCTATGTGCCTCAGTGCCTCCCGTCTGAAATGTCTGAATTGCTTTTCGCTGCCGCGGGCCGGATGCTTTTGGTGGGTGAATCCGAGTTTGTTGAGATACGCAGGACCCTCCCAAGAAGTTGCGACCCTAGTTTTGAGCGGGGGGCTCTTGGGGGGGGGGGGGTGATGACGTTTCTGGGTTTTCTGGGGCTGGTTTCAACTTTCCAGACGGCTTCCCCGTGTGCCTCCTTGCCGGCTTACAAAGTCACCCCTTTCGCTGGCGCGGCACAGGTGGGGTTCAACAACCAGAACCGCGAGGGCGGACTGTCTCTGAGCTGAGAAGTAGTTCTTCCTTTGTTGGGGGTCGAGCAAAAGGTCCGAGATACATGGGGTGACCATTGGGGAAACCATCAAAAAGGAGACGACCTTCACCACATGCGAGAAAGTTACCCCTGCTCATTTGGGGGGGCGCCGAAGATTGATCAGCCCCTTCATCTTTTGAAGGAGCTGCGTAGGTGCCAAGTCTTACCTCCACAAGCGGCTGTTGCAAGGGACACCGCCATTAAATTCATCAACTTCGGGGGAAATCCAGTGACTCTTCGATGTTTCATTGCTTCATTGGTTCAGAGGGCTGGAACTTTGCCCTTCTGGCCAGTATGGGTGAATTGTTTTTCTTTTTTTGGCTCCCCAGGAAGACCGCATTTTTTTGGGCGGTGTCCTAAAACAGAGACGCCCATATCTGGGGTTGGGAAGGCTGGCACCTGGAGGAAAACCCCCCCACGCAGAAAGTTGGACGACTTGTGCCTTGCTTGACCTCCGCATCCAAAGTGGGCGGTTCTCCACATTGTTAGTTATTGTTATTTTTTGCATTTATGTGTATACATATGTATATATATATATATATATATATTGGGGGGCCTTCGCACCACCATTTGGACTGTAAGTCTTGAGGATGTCGCCTTCTTTAACCCAGGGCTGGTCCATGTAGGGCCTTGCGGAGAACATCCAACCACCGGCCGAGTGCCCTGTGTGGGCCACGGTTCTTGGGTCTCCTCAGCCAATTGGCGGTTTGTTCTTTTTTTGTGGGTACTGTTTGGCGGTTGGATTGAAGGGAGACCACGAGGAAGACCACGCATTTGTGGCGATCCCGTATTTTGAGACACTCAAATATGTTGAAACATGAAACAGGATTTGCACATCATTGTTTTTGGTGTACCCTGGTGGGCAAGCGATTCGCTCCCGCGTCCAGCCCCGGTTGAGCAAATCGAAACAATGTACAACCAGGATGGATGCACGGTGGGCTTCTGCGACCCCTTCTCCTTTCCCAGCTGGGTGAGGGTTTGTCTTTTTGTCGAGGGTGTTCCCTGTTGGTTGGTTTCAAAGAGACAAAATCGTGAATCAGAACATGTCAAAGTGGATCCGCCTTTCGGTTGGTATTCCAAGTAAGGCCAACAGGAAAGACACTTTTTTAGGGGACCGATTCCTATTTTACGACCCCCCCGCATTTGGCAGATACCGCAAATGACGGGAACTGCCTAAAGGTCACTTCGTTGACTTTTGACCCATCGCAAGCAAATGAACAGAGTAGGATTTTCTTGAGGAAGGAGCCATGCTTTCCTCGAATCTTCTGGTAGGTTCCATGTTGGTAGGAAGCACCCCAAGTTTGTCCCCCGAAAACATCCTTTTATCAAGAGAAGGAAGCGCCCAGTTTTGGCCCCGCTGCCAGGCGCTGGGATCTGGCCTGGGTTCCCTGAGATTCTCGGATCCCAACCCACAACCCAAACCACTTCGACTGGCAGTCTGAAAGCCGAAGACCAGCACCAGCCAAGAAAACTAGACCTCAGCTTGAGCCCAGGTTTCAGTACAGCCAGATCGATGCCGTGATCGACAAGCTCAGGGAAAACGGGAGCCGGGTGCTACTGGTACTGCACCCCAAGTGGCTGCGGGAAGATGCAGATCGGACCGTGACCAAGAGGAAGAAGAGAAAACTCGAGCCTTGGCGGATGACATCGTACATATGTGGCTTCCTCTTGGGTTCCCTTCAAATGCAACCCAAATCGTGGTTTTCGCAGTGGTACCCTCTACATTTCGTTCATGCAGCGGCGTTCTGAACCGGTCAACCCGCTGAAGTTGCAACTGGGCTCATTTGCAGCTGGTTCACATTTTTTGTCAGGCAGCTGGGATCGTCCAGGGTTGGTGGCCAAAACGCAAAAAAGAAGAAGAAACCAACGGGCCAGCGGATAACATGTTGAACCAACTGAGGTGAACTGGGTATGAATTTGCAAGAGAGGGCTTTTGGCTCCCTTTAGTCTCTTTTTGGGTTTGGGCCATTTTGGGAAGCAACCCCTGTTGTTTTTCTTCTGAGGCCAATGCACGGCTCGGACAGGCGACCTTAGGGACCAACTGGTGGATCCTTTGGCTGGAACCCCCCACGAGTTTGGCTTGGAAACCCATGTCCACTGGCAGAAAGTTTGCATCGGGGATTGAATCATTCAATGGTTTCTTTTGTGGCGAAATGGATTCCGTGGACCCACCATCGGGAGCCAAAGGGAAGATCGGCACCGGTGGGGTGGAACCCTCGGGTTGGAAGCCGCTCGGGGATCCCGACAGTAGTCTATCACAAACCTACTTTGCAGGTTTGTCTTCGAGCCCATGGGTCCGAATGGAGATTCTCAAAACTCAGGGCTAGACTTGGCTCACTTTTATTTTCACCTCGCGGCTTTCTTGATGGTGCCCGACCTCATTTTATAGCCTTTTGCAGGGGGTCGGATCCGGCTGGTGAAGAACATTTTCCCTTGGAACACCCCCAAAAAATAAAATCCGCCAACTAGGGGGCAGCGAGGTACCAGTTGGGTGCCACTAGCAAACGAGGCATTCAATTGGTGCAGGGCCGGGGCTCGCTCCGGGCGCGGCTCGATCCGTTCGCCCGGACGGAGAGGACCAGATCAACTTGGAGGGCGCCATGGGCTCTTCGGAGGAGACGGCCGAGGAGCAGGCGCGAGCCGAGCGGGCGAGCGGGCTGGGCTCGGCTCGTGAGCCGTTGAGCGGAGGGGAGAGGGGGGGAGGGGGGAGGGGGGAGGGGGGGAGGGTGTCTCCAACATGGGGGGGAGGGGGGAGGGAGGGGGGGGGGGGGGACG